TAAAAACCCCCCCCCCCCCCCCAAAAAAAAAAAAAAAATTCCTTCAATGCTTATCAACAACACCTCTCAGTAAACTAAAAAATCGCTACCCATTGTGGCAGCAAACTGAAAAATTGCTGAATAACAAGGCAGCAACCGCCTGCCTGCAACGCTGATGATGACCATTGTGGGCAACTTACTCAAGCAAATGACATTATCAATCACTCAGCTTTCAAGTCCTTGGTGATGAAAACCACTGACTATCAACTGTAGGTCATTGATTGAAGACTTACAATCTCTTCTCGATCACATCCCTACCAAATGCTCCTCTCTCCTCATTTTTAGCGAAACTAGTCTCCACTAATGCTCTTGTCCCAAGCCTCCGATAAGGTGTCCATATGTCATTAAAGAACAAAAATGAGAATCTCAAATTATAGTTTCCCTATATCATTACCAAGCATTGCCGATGAATAGACATAAATCTTCATCATTTTATTTTCCATCTTCATGCCATCTCTCTCCACCCCTATCAACTTCAAATATATCTTGTATTACAAAAACTCAATTATTGATAGATCCTGGGTTTCAAAAAGGAGAAGACAATACATATTGCTTTGATCTTCAAAATCAGCTTCTTTTTTTCCCCTTTGATTTGAATGTCCTTTTATGATTAGGAAACATTGACTTGAATTTAAGTAGATATATGCATGATGATCAACCGGTTCATATCAGAATTTGTTATGTTAAGAACTAGTTATAAGAATTGGTTGTGAACCGCACAAACCCAAAAAACAAAAGGTTACCCAGCAGGCTCTAAAGGTACACGTCTGAACCTGATTAATAATCTATACCTGAATTATCAGTAAGCTCAAACAAGACGCTAAAAAATATCTTAAAGTCAGATTAATCATTTTGCAATTGGCATTGACATGAAATACAAAGGCTATTTTTCATCAGAAAATAGCATATGTGGAAAAATAAGAAAATGGCAAAAGTTGCATCCAGATTTCTGACTTCACTAACATCCATCCAGCTATTAAATTTCAGTTATTTGGCTTTGGAATATCTCAAGTTCAAATAATAATGCGACATCTTCTGAACTAAAAAATTTACAATCAACAAAAAGCAACACATACATGTCAGAGGAAGGATCAGGACTTTGGCATTCAGCTGCTTGTTCGTGCCAACAAAATATATCATCCTTAATACAGAACATAGGGAAAAAGTATAAGAACCAAATATGAATCAGCCCATTACCCACCCCATCTGACACCACTGATTAACTCCCCTCTTTCATTTCTAAGATTTAATATCTCCTCATCACCATCTGTATATGAGACCTGTTCAAGAACGGAAAGAACAACTAATTAGGAACAATAAACTCCACATGAATAACATTGGCATATAAAGCATAGCACATGCAGGTAAAACCTACATAGTAATCATGCACAAGATTGGAACCTAGTATATACAAGCAAACTAACCTTATGTTTCTTTTTTACAGGATCAAAACCATCAATAACACCTTCATAAAACCTGCAAGTAACAAAGGAATTATAAACAATGCAAGTCCATCTTGACATGTTAATGAGATAACTACACCGAAATATAGTGATGCAGCCATAGGTTTTCAAAACATGAATTACAATAATTCAAATAGAGAACCTCGTAAATTAAGCCCAAACTCCCAAACGCAGCAGGTGTAATATCTCAAACAGATAACAAACCAGCAGTACAAAATAATACAGCCAAGCTCAGATATTTTGAGAGCAACCAATTAACAAAACTAAATTCAACTATCATTAAGTAACAATCAACAATTACAAATAATAGAGTTTGAATTCAAACAAAGGGAGAATAAGTGACTGGAAAGGGAAGAAACCAGCAATTGTAGAGGGGGGGGATAGATGTCAGCAACAGCAACAGTAGGAGAGAAGAAAAGGGAGGGTAGCAACAATAACAAAGGTGAAGGAGAATAAAAACAGGAAAAAAAGACAGACAGCAGTGGAGGAGAAAAGTGAGACGAGAAACACCAGTAGCAGAGGAGGACAGAAGATCAAAAGACAACGGGATTAGCAGCTGAAATATGGCTTTGAGTTTATTGGCATGACTGGTTCAAACCATGTCCACGCAACAAACCACACAATGACCTGCGCTTTGCTCAAAAAATACAAATAACAACACGGAGCTACCGCAACTCAACTGAAATGCAATGCAATCCCAATATAATATAAGAGAAATTCTTCAACAGTGTCTGATAATTTGCAAAGAAAAAAACTGTATCGAAAAAATGGAACATTACAGGGTTTTCAATACAAAATAAACATAACATGAACAAAGGTAACAAATGATACAAACAGATTCATGAGGTAAATCAATCCAAATTCACAGGGTACACCAACAAAAGGATTACAACTCACAACTTTCTCGAAATCAGAGATAACTTACAAAATGATTCCATGGAAGCAACACAAAATGCCTTATTATGAGTTGGAGCTATCTAGCCTTTTTCATTCAGCAGCCACAGGGCAAGCACTGGCTGGACAATTAACCAATTCATTGGGTAGGCTTTCCTCTCACTCCTAATCTTAACCAGAGGAATCATGAAATGGTGCTTAAAAATAAGCATTTGGCATGTAAGAATCAACTAGGATCCATAGGTTCAATTTGTTGGCATGTTCCGGTCTAGGTTTTCCGACCAAACAAGAGAAGCTTTCTGAACCCTTTTGTAGCTTTTGGAGAATTTTCATCACTATTCATTTTATCATTTGGGGTGTTGTAGACATTTCTACAACAGAAATTTCACAATCTATTGAAACCAAGAAAATTTTGCAATTTCAAGTTAATAAACAATTAATGAATCTAGCAAAGAAAAAATTGAATGAACCAACATAGCATGCTATGTTAATTGTAATTTATATATATTTATCTGTCAATTGATTTTGTAGTTCCTTTCTTCTTCATAGAAGAAACAAATCAAGAACAAACTCAGCCACATGATGATATGCAGAGATCAGATAATTATATATAGTACTCCATGTTCTGTTTCAACCAAGTTTCTGAACCAACCAACATAGAAAAAATCGAAAAGAGCAAATATTGGAAAAGGATGTCTGAGTGCAGAAAAAGCTACAGTCAATGTCAAATATTTATTTTAATAAAACACTGTTGTGGTTCATCAAGCACACTAATTATTCCCACATAAAGTGCTACTACTATGGGAGAAATACAATGCTCCCGGTACAACCCCTTTGTTTGGTACTTACTGGACAAGGAATCACTTGGGTTTGCAAGGTAGTCGAGACAAGTGTAAATCTCAAACAATTGCACATGCGTGTTGTTAAGAGCTTAGCATGAAATGTAAATGCTATTTCCCACTCCAGTGAACTGAGTAAGAGCATTTTCGAAATCAAGCTTTGTATATGATACATCAGAGTGCAGTACTATGTTGGCATTGCTTAGGATGCTAAGCAAGTCAATCCTATTTCTTTCTTGGATTACACCCAGAAAGTACTCCATTTTCGTCATTCTGGACAAACAACAAATCCCATGTTTTGTCCCACTGATTCTGCCAAAGCAGTGAATCTCTTTTGCCAATAATAATGCTCGGTCATGCCCTAGCCAAAGGAACCGCTAAGGCCCTTGTCTACTGTTAGATTTGCATAAAAAACAGAAAAGAAAGAGAGGAAGAAAAGAGAGAGCACTGTTGTTGCTGCTGTATATTATTTCACACCACTAAACATATTAGAATTACACATACTTATAATAAAAGACTAAAGGAACAAAAGACATAACTACCCTTATACACTAATACTTAACACTCCCCCTCAAGTTGGTGTAAAGATATCTCTCATACCCAACTTGTAACAAATAGGATGGAAAACCTTACTACTAAGACCCTTAGTAAAGACATCAGTCAATTGATCTGCAGACTTCACAAAAGGCATACATATGCAACCCTTATTCAATTTCTCCTTGATAAAATGTCTGTCGATCTCAATATGCTTTGTTCTATCATGCTGAACAGGATTGTGAGCAATACTAATGACAGCTTTATTGTCACAGTACAGTGTCAATGGTTCACTACAAACAAACCCAATATCATTCAACAAGGACTGGAGCCACATCAATTCACATGTATCATGCGCCACAGCCCTGTATTCTGCCTCTGCACTAGATCTGGACACCACTGTTTGTTTCTTACTACGCCATGTGACTAAATTTTCCCCCACAAAGGCACAGTAACCGGAGGTAGATTGCCTGTCATCTATAGAACCAGCCCAATCAGCATCTGTGAATGCCTCCAATCTCAAGTGACCATGATTGGAAAATAAAATCCCTTTTTCATGAGTAGATTTAAGATACCTCAAAATACGATACACTGCATCCAAATGAAGGGCACGAGGCTCATGCATAAATTGACTCACTATCCCAACCGCATAGGCAATATCTGGACGAGTGTGGAATAAATATATAAGTCTTCCCACAAGTCGCTAGTACCTTTCCTTCTCCACAAGATCACCAACACCACTACAAAGATGGTGATTAGCCTCAATTGGTGAATCAGCAAGTCGGCAGCCTAACATGCCAGTTTCCTTAAGAAGATCTAGAATATACTTCCGCTGAGAAAGAAATATGCCTTTGTCAAATCTAGCAACTTCAATCCCAAGAAAGTACCGCAACAAACCAAGGTCTTTGATCTCAAATTCCTTGGCCAATAGCATCTTAAGATGTGTCACTTCTTCCTCATCATTACCTGTCACAACTATGTCATCCACATATACTATAAGCACAGTTACCTTATTTACGTGACGGTTGACAAACATTATGTGATCTGCATTGCTTTGCTTATACCCGAACCTCAACATAGCCTTTAGGAATCTGTCAAACCGAGCTCGAGGAGACTGTTTCAAACCATATAATGCCTTTTCAACCTACAAACTTTCCCACCTGTAGACTGAGATGAGAATCCTGGTGGTATATCCATATATACCTCCTCCTCCAAATCACCATGGAGATATGTATTCTTCACGTCTAACTGCTGTAAAGGCCATCCCAAATTAGCTACACATGAGAGAATAGCTCGAATGGAATTCATCTTTGCCACAGGAGCAAAGGTTTCTTGGTAATCAATTCCATATGTCTGAGTAAATTCCTTGGCCACTAATCGCGCTTTGTACCGTTCAATTGTTCCATCTGCTTTCTGCTTGATGGTGAACACCCACTTACACCCTACAGGCTTTTTTCCACTAGGAAGAGAAACCAACTCCCAAGTGTTATTCTTGCTTAAAGCTTGCATCTCTTCTACCATAGCTACTTTCCACTTAGGATCATTGATAGCTTCTGTTCAACCCTGGGGAATACATGCAAAAGACAAAGACGAAACAAAAACACGATATGTAGAAGACAATGAATCATATGACACAAATTTAGAAATGGGGTGTTGAGTACAAGCCCTAACCCCCTTTCTAAGAGCAATAGGAAGACTCGAATCATTGACAACAGGACTCTCAACTACAGGTAGAGGGATAGACTGAGATGCATTACCTGGAACTGGTATGAGGGATGATGATGGGTTTGGTGGCACAAGGGATGCTTGCTCTTTCGGACGCCGAGAATAAGTATTAAGATCAACCCTGTCCAAATGACCACTAATGTCAGGCTCCACATCAAGAGAACTATTAGGCTCTCCCTCACCACAAATAATAGTCCGCTAACTAGGAAAGAAAAAAGACAACTCGTGTTGATAGGCCATCTCCTCATCCGCAATCTCATCCATACCACTACTACTCTCCCCCGGAGGAGATGGCGGAGGAGAAGGAAAGAAGGACACAGATTCACGGAAAGTGACATCCATACTTACATACACTTTGCGAGTGTGAGGATCATAGCATTTGTAACCCTTCTGAGTAGCAGAATAACCAATAAAGACACAACGCACAGCCTTAGGATCGAGCTTCCCACAAGTACGAGGTTGCAAATGAACAAAACAGACACACCCAAACACCCGAGGAGGAAGAGAAGAGGTGGGATATGCGACAGGAAGCAGTTGAAGAGGAATCTGGAATTGAAGGACACTAGAAGGCATACGGTTGATAAGGTAAACAGCGGTAAGAACAGCATCACCCCCAAAATGACTTAGGAACATTCATGGTAAACAAGAGAGAGCGAGCAACTTCAAGAAGGTGGCCATTCTTGCATTCGGCAATCCCATTCTGTTGAGGAGTACCAATACGACTAGTCTGATAAAGAATGCCATACTCCTCTAGGTATGCCCGAAAAACTCCATCAACATATTCAGTCCCATTATCACTACGAAGAATTTTGATTTGAGCATTAAAAAGATTGGTCACCATTTTATGAAAAGTTTGGAAACAAGAAAAAACTTCACTCTTAGTTCAAAGCAAGTAAATCCAAGTCACACAGGAAAAACAATTAATAAATGTAACAAACCATCAATACCCAGAAGTAGAAACCACAAGGGAAGGGCCTCACACATCGGTATGAATAAGAATAAAAGGAAAAGTACTTCTTTT